GTTTGCAACATACAACGCAAATGATCAATATTCACTGGTTCATATTGTAATATTTTATTATATAAAGCTTTATCAGTATTGATTAGTTTCATAAAGGCTTCTTTAATATTCGATGAATTCTCCAGTACCGATGATGACTCGGTTTCATAAAATTCCATTTCTTTGTTGAGTGTTTCTTTTGTAAGACTTACACTATTGTTGCTGTTACAGATATGTCACTTTTTTATTATGTCTATATAAAATGTCATATTATGTTAAAAAGATTAATTAGTATTTACATTAATTAAGTTTACCTATCTTGAGAACAAGGCAATTCATTTTCACTGTCTTCTGAATTGCTCGATTTTTCCAAACTGTTATCTACGTTTTGTTTCTTCAGTGGAGGTTCCTCGTCTTCGTCGCTCGAAATTTCAGTGACCTGCTGTCCTATCGTTTTCTTAGGCACTAAAGGATGAAGTTCGTTATAAATGTGCGTTAATAATTTTACAGCTCTGCTACGTTTTTGTACCTTTAATCCATATTTTTTCATTTCTTTCTAAAAATTAATAATTCGCTCATGAGAAAAGAAAATATTTTCAATTATAAAAATTTATTATTTTTAATTCACTTACGTGTAATTCAGGAGTGCTCATATCGTTGTAAACAGGCGGAGGTGTAACATCTTTATCAGTTATTTTAGGCGTTTTTGCATTTCCAATATTCTGAATATAATTACATTGAAATTGTCTGGACATATCTGTAGATGTCACTCTTTGATTACGTAATCTATTTGGATTAATCTGCCCCTCGGATAAAGATTTCCTTTTAAATTTCTTAACACTTGTAAAATTTTGAGTCAAAGATGTAACATTATTATCTAAGTTTCCATAATAATTTGCTGCTATATCTCTCCCTTTGATATTTCCATGATTATTTTTATTATTGCTTCTGCGTGTACTACTATTAAATTCTCTCATACTTGATATGTTAAATGATCGACTCTTCTCCAAAATATGTTGCTTCTCGTATTTATTAATATCAACATTTGCAAGATATATATCGTCTTCAAAATCAAAAGTGGCTGACTTTCTTAATTTACAAGTTTCTAATCCTGATACATTTTCGGTACAGAGTTTACCTTGAAGCAAGCTTTCCATATGTAGAATTGGACTGTAGCTTTCATTATTTAAAAAATCTGGGCTAGAGGATACCATAATCGGACTTGGAATAGACTCCTTTTTTTGAGCATCATTTAATTCATTAAATTTATATTTTTGTGTCATAGACATTATCTCTGTAGTATTTAACTTATTTGGATTTAATTTTGCGCTATTAATATTTTTTTCTTCTTCCAAGTACGTCGTCATTGCTTTTGAAAATTTGTTAATTTCGAAAGATTGACTGCTATTTTCATTTGTCATATTCTGTCTGTTACTTTCTATTTCTTTTCTAGATTGTTGCAGAGAATGAGACATGATATTTTCATGGTTGGAGTCATTGTTCTCTAAGATATGGCTAACATTGAAAGATATACTTTCAACATCTGAATCTGATGAAACAATTATATCTGCATCTTTTTGTGTCAAAACAGATTGAGTCAAAATTTCATCTTTTTCAGCCTCACTGACATTACTGTCTTCATTGAGGGAATCAGATAATGTACTTTTATTAGATAGATTATTATCTGACTTATTTTTACTGATTGCTCTTCGATACTTTGCTATGCTATTATCCTTGTGATCTCTCATATATTTAGAATACATAGAAATCTCTTCCTCATCCGTTTCTAAATCAGAGATGGTTTCGTTAAGCGATCGATTCATTATTTCAATATGTTGTGAACATACTGCTGGTACAGTTGTGATTTGTTCTGAAACATTTCTCTCATCTGATGAAGTAAAGTTTTGTGTACAATTCAATATATTATTATGGGAAGAATCTGTTATCTTTTTAGATGATACAGAATCTATGTGCGAATTATTAATCTGTTTAACATCGTCTACATCTTCATTAGAAAGACGAGAATAAAATTCTGGATTTTTGGCAGCATACGACTGCATATGCTGCTCTATTATAGATAATCTACCGGCTTTTTTCTCTGTATCAACTGATTGTTCAGCATCATTATCACAAGATTGAAGATTAAAGTTATCGTACTTGTCTATACAAAATGGATTGTTATACTTTATAGGAGATGTTTGTACAGAACATTCCATTTCTGTGGCATTTATCAACGCATCCGATTCCGCGTTTTCCTTCTGGATTTCTTCGATAAATAATGTGAGATTACTTTTCTGTTTTATTACCTTTGAAAGACGATCTTGACTACATCTTGATTTACTGTTTTGGGAAGTATCAATTAAAAAATTGTTATGCATATCATTGGTAGAAAATTTCAGAGAATTTGATTCGACATCTGGATTAATTTCTACACTTTGTTCCAAATTTTTCAAACAGATAGATGTACTTCCTAACTCTAAACATTCTGTATTCTGAGGTTTTGCAGTTGATAATTTTTGACTATAGATATCAACATCTTGTTTGAGCAAATTCAGTAATATATGAATATTAGAATCTTCCAAATTTTTAGAGTGTTCTGTGGATTTATCGCTGTGCTTCATCACAAATGTCTCATCAAACATGTCAGGAGATACACTAATTTCTCGTTTTATCGGTGTGTTACTCCTGAAATTCATTTCCTCTGATAATTTCAGTGAAGTATCTTTTTCGTCTTGCAAAACACACAAGTTCTTTGCAGATGCGTAATTATTTTCAAGAAGATATAAATCATCATTAACACCTCCTTGTAACGTTTTCTGAAAGCATGGAATATTTTCCACAACATTATGCGTACAATTTGGTGATTTGTTGAAAGATTTATTTAATTTTGAAACATCGAAAGTTGTTTCTATATTTGGATGTACATTTTCTATACTTTTTTCATAAGTATTACAATTATGTTTAATTTCTGCTATAGATTTAGATTTCTTTTGACGCAAATAAACAAATAAATCATTTATTTTGTATTTTCTTCCTAAAGCTCTAATACTAGATAAAGTTATCTGAGAATCAAGTATTTTTGAATACTTATCGATTACACCACAATAAACAAATTCTAAAAAAGCCATGGCGACATCATAGTCTGTATCAAGCCAACAAATTTTTTCTTTTGCAGTAGAGAACTCTGTATCATTAGATATTACATCATGTAAAATATTTGCGCAACGTGTATAGAAAACCAACTTATGCGTCCATATGTGTTTGCTATTTCTAACGAAAACAATAATATCACTTGCAGAACTATCATTTAATATATTTCTCCAACTTGTAGCTAAATTGTCAAGGAATTGATTTTCTTTGCAACATATATTAACAATATTTGAAGAAATCATTAATGTTTCATTAGTATCCGTAGTTTTTATAACGTCCTGTATTTCTTTTATTTCTTGCATTTGTTCATTATTTAAAGATTTTTCGTTGTTTATGTTTAATTCCATAATGTTTATAACATTCTTCTCTTCCTATAAAGCACAACACTGTTATTATATCTTTTAAATATACTATTATTATATACAGAATGTTCCACAATTTGTGAAATTTCAATAGCACATTCCTGACTTAAAAATAAGACAAAAATCCTAATACCAGAATGTCAAGACTATAATAATTTTTAAATTAATTCGTTATATATATTTATTATTTTTAATATCCTGCAATATTTTTATATTATGTGCGTTGCATATGTAATTATCTTCTATGTTTAAATATGATTAGTGGAGGTATTTTAACATTATTGTATATGTTATTACTTCACTCTCACAAGGTGAATATAGACGTATGAATATTCACTTGTGTGATGCACTGTCCCTGAGCGCGCGAAATGTTAGCTCTGTCATTAGTTAACTTTAACCACTATTAACTTAAAAACTATTATAGTCTCGACATTTTATGGTATTAGGATTTGTCTTATTTTTAAGTCAGAAATGTTATTAAAATTTCGATCACGAATTGTGGGACGTCCTTTTATATATATATATAATTTTTTTTTTTTAATGTAACTTATGTGCTAATAAATAATAACTTACATTTGATTTCTGCTCTTTCTTTTCTAATGATGTTATTTGAGGCGATAGTTGTTTTACATAAAATATATCTTCAGTTAGAATTAGTTTTGTCCTATCCCATAATGTATTCTCCTTGAAAATAAGAATATATGTATAACATATAATATTTTAAAGTCTACTGATATTCGGATTAGAAAATAATTTTTTTATATAAAAAATAAAGCATAATTACAATTTGACGTAATTGTTGAAGTAATTGACTCTTTATATCAATCTTCTCTTTAACGTCGTTAGACTCTTCTACTTTTTCCTGAGATCTTTGAGTAAAATCTTTACAACCCATAAGTATCTCAGCTATTCTCTCTGTTAAAATACGTTCTCTTTCTAGAGCTGTACGTCTTTGCAAAATGGTTGGTTCAATAGGCTTTCCTTGGGAAAAAAAAAAAAAAAAAAAAAAAACATAAATTAAAATATATATTTCTTATTAGATGCAAGTTTATCAATTGCATCAATTAATATAACGTATAATTACTTTTCTTAATTCTACTGGTGGGCAAATTGTTTGTTGGTAACACATTTCTACTGCTACTAAACCCAAAATTTTGCAATGTTGCTTTCTGAGGACATTCTTCATTATTATCTGACACTGATGGATTAGAGGATATTGCTACGATCTGAACTTCATCCCATTCTTCCATTTTCTCTTTTTCATATAGAGATTTGGAAAGGGCTAAAGCAAGCTGAAGATCAGGGTCATGCGATACCTAAAAAATTATTATTTAAATCGGTCTAAAACTATTTGTATCATTGTCTTGTCAATAATTTAATTAAGTTTTAAGAAGATTATCTCAATTCCCATAAAGCTTCAATAATCTGGCAATTTTAAAATCAATTTTGTAGATATCCGAACAATTAAATACCTACTATTTTACGAGGAGCAGATTTCTTTTTATCTTGTAATATAGGAGCGGAGAGTAGCCCCAATGATTTTCTTTCTGCAGCTTGCCGTTCTTGCAATTCTACAGCATCCATTAATTTTTTTGTAGACATGTTATTTTTCATGGCACAGCTCTTCATATGTACAGCTTGTGAATTTTCATCTTTAAAATTTTTAAAACACAATGGACATACAAAAGCAGTTTTCACAGTTGAACTTTGCGGTGACTCTATTTCTTTCTTTTCAGATTTAAAAAAAGATGATTCAATTAATGGTTGTTGTACATCATGAAAAATCTTTTTATTCTGTAATGGTTTTCCATTTTTAGATTTCTTTTCATTTATAATAATTTTAGGTTTAGAATGGAGTACTTTCTTTTTGACTTTATCTGGAAATTTGTTACTGTTAATAACTTTCGATTGCATGGAATGTATTCTTTTTGGCGATTTAAAATCCAATATACTGTCATCAAGTGGAGGTTGGGATGTAGAAGTATCATCCGTATTAGATTCATTATTGTTAGAAAGAACCTTGTTATCCGTACTAAATAAAAGAACATTTTTATATTAGTAAAGGTATTCCAAGGCGATTCAAATTTTATTAATACAAAGAATAAATATCTTTGCAAAATGCAAATTTAATTTCATTTGATTTAGGAAAAAAAAATATAATAATAAAGACATGTGATATGTTTTATACTTCAAATATATTTTTATCATTATATATTATTAGAAAGATACATATTATATTAAGTTGGACTACAAAAGTTATTAATTTAACATATTTGACATGTTATAATATATACCTTTCCTTATCATTTTTCCTTAATCTCAATCTTCCTTCTAAATTACTAGGCTTACAGAATCCATTCCTTTCAACGTCCATTACTGTTATATAAACTTTGAATATTTTGTTATTCAAACTTTATTCAGCTTTAGCTTGCGTATTCTCTGATTCAGCTTCTGCTTTAGATTTAGTCTTTTCTATCAACTTTTGAATAGTACCTGTCAAAAATGGAATTGTGATGTAATCTTCGAACTCTTTTTTCTCATCTCTTGGGAGAGTGAATTCTCTGATTATATTTTCGTCGTTTAACAATGGAACGACACTGTAAAACAAAATTTCGTATTAAATTTAAATTAAAACAGAATACATTCAAGTTACATTCACCAGGCGAACTAATTAAACATTATAAATATTACATCAAAATTAATTGGAAAATAAATAACGTAAATTGTAGATTTATTTGTCCGTAAAATTTGCGTAAGTATATAAACCTACTTCTTTCTCCAGGAAATATACATTGCACCAGCGTAAAAAAGGGTTACGGTGAGTGCCGCGAGTCGAACATATTTCTGTAGCGGAGTGTTCCTAAGTTGACGTGGTTTTCTATGCGTTTCGTCCGCGGGATCATGAAACATTTCACAGAGACCGTGCGAGAGAAGAATACTAAAATAATATCAATGTGATTACGGACGACAATGATCTTACAATGCTATAAAATATGGTCATGGCGGGCATCTTACACTTTTTACACTCAGCATCTTCGCTTTCTTTCTTTTCAGCCAAATATATATCTATCTCATTTTAAGTGTAAAAAGTATAAAAAAGTGTAAGCAAAGGTTTATTCTATGGCTAAACTAGTGTACACTTGGAATTTAAGTGAAATAAATATGTTTGATATTTGTCCAAAACGAAAAAGAGACTTCTATTGCAATCCAGTGCAGGAACAGAAAACAGACTAGGCCATGATTCAATTCTTGCTGGCAATGCTATTGAGCATCATTTATCTTCGTTTAACATTTGACAAACAATAAGGATGAAATGATTTCTAAACGTGTGAACGTGAATTGGACCGCGCAACTGGCGCAGACTACATGTGATACTAACCTAATCGAATCTAGGGACTTGATCGCTCATGAACTCATGGTGACCTGCTTCGACTTTCGAGTTTCGAGTCTTTCGATTTTTCAGCCATTTGAATCAACATCAAGTAAATAATTAATCTCTACAGCTTGTTTAAAATCATTTATCATCTGATTCAAAATATCTAAAAGTGTTTTGAGCATCAAATTATTAAAAATTGCTTGTCAATTTAATTCGTGGTATTACTACAGCAATTTAATTGTATTTATAAGTCCATCAATTCGGCATACTGTTCAAATGACTAAATATTTATGTATGCATGTACACACACACACACACACACACACACAAAGAGGTGTTGCCATACTCAACAAAGCGATTCTTTGATTTATTTCAAGTAAAAAAGTCCACATAAACATGTGTCACTAACATTCTGTATATATAATATATACGTATATAGTAATAATAATTATTAATAATAATTATTAAGATTTGAATGATATTTAAATATCATTCAATAATAGTTTAATTGCATTCATGCACGAGTATTTATTGAAATAATGAGAATGTGTTTAAAATGTTTTATTTTTTTATTGGCATAAATTCAATTAGCATAAGCTGTACGTATTCGTATATAATTCATCTGTGCTTGATAAAATCTATCTTTAATCAACGGTACTTTTTGTGCAAATTTATAGTAGTGGAATTTATAATAGTTGTAGAATATAACATATATTTCATTGTATCCTCAGTTTCAAGGTCATTGTATCACATTTTACAATACAGGGCATTGGATGTAATGATTTAAATGTATCTCTTGACTTTACAAGATTTGATACACTTGATGCATTTTAGTTATGCCACAATTTATATATAACGCATGGAGAATAAGTAATTATTAATTACAATATATTGATATTCGTGAATAGGTAAGTTAATTAACAGACCGTATTGCATTTTCAATCCTTAAAAGCATTTTTGAGAGTGTAAGCACGGATAACACAAGTACGCAAATTTATGTACGCAAATACAATACTTATGTGTATAATACGAATATATAATATAGAGAAAATTATTTTTTTTTAACACATACTTCTCTCTCATGATTATTAACGGAAAGAAATGGAGAAAGTAACGACATCTTTCAAATACAGCTATAAAACAATTCTGTAGTGTTTTAAATAGTCAAATAGTGCTGGCTGTCATTTTTAAAAGATTACAAACTCGTAGGAATCCAATTAAAATATATAATATATCAATCTCATATGAAATGTTGTCAAGTTAGTATTATGAGCTAAATTTACAACTATGTGCATTAATAACTAGGAATTAAACTAAATTCATCTAAATATGCTTTGGTAGAAGCATGATAAAAACTATGTAACTAAAATTAAACAAAATGTAAAACTTCACATGGAAGTTGGAGACCAAAAATTCATCTCTCTTAGTTCTGATGGTTTAGCTTCGAGCACGTTTACGTAAACAGATGACTTATCCATCGATTTTTCTTCTTTCCCTATATATGTAAGATTTTGAGACGATATCGATTTTTTTCGATTAAGTGGCTTGCGTGGCTCCATGTCTGGAAAGAGCTCGTCCTCCTCATCTATCTTTGCTGTAATTACTTCCCTGGATTGACCTAATATGCTTGCCAAAATCCAATTACCCTGATATTTTTCTTTATCCGGTACAAATGCACCAGTGAAATATCGGTTATGTAGCTTTCTGCGTGCTTTCGGCGAACTGTCTGGAGATCCTGTTGGTGACGTAAGTGGTGTCGCTGGTAACGATTTGCTGACACTTTTCACCGAGTTCTCTGTCTGCTGAGAACGCGAATCCGATGTGAATACTTTGGTGAATTTACCAGACATCATTTGACTAGCTACATGAACGATTGATTTGCCACAAAGAGCCGGTTCACCATGAAAACCGTCATCCGTCCCCTGTGATTTAGGTTTTACATTTCCGCTCCCTTTATCTAATCTAATACCACCAACTAAAATAATATATATCATTATACTAATAGAATAATATAAAGAAAGTTTATTTTGCAATTATTACAAGTTTTTTCGCGCTGATTGGATTATGCTTTTAGATCTAAAAGTATTATCCAACTAGAATGAAGAAAACTTCCAACAGTTGTAAAATAAATGTTCTAATTTAAATGCAAACAATGATAATTTGTTAGTCAGTGTTTCATATTTAAAAAAAAAAAAAAATTTTAGTAATATACCTGTATTATTTACAACCGGTATAAACGGTTGACATGGCAATGGATGTTTGCTAAAATCAATTTGTTTGACCTCTTTCAAGTTTTCAGAAATGGATTTTTCATTCGTTATCTGATTCGTAGAGCTCGCAATATTTTCGTTTAAAACTTCAGTTACAATGTGCTTCAATCCGTGTTGTGGTTGAGTATTTTGCGATCTTGGATATCTTACGTAAAAGAAACTATCGTCATAAGATGGTGGACTGAATGCAGCTTCGTCAAAGTCAAATCTAAAAAAAATATATTATGCTTATAGCATATGATGCAATTTGTTATACTAGGTCACATGTAATCTAGTAAATTAAACCAACACATAGGACTATGTTCAGATTCCCACTCGAGTGCCACTCTCAGATATCATTTTATCCCAGGGTGAGATTTTATTTGTGCATTTTTGACAAATCGTATGACAAATGGCTGCAGAACAGAAAGATTCTCCGATCTCTCTATCTTATAGCCAATAGGCTTAAAGAATACATTAATAGGCTTAAAAAATGTTATTTTTAAAAAATGCACAAACGTAATAGCACCCTTGGGCTAATATTCTATTTGTTGTATGATCAATTTTTCAAGAACGTTGATTGACGGCTATAGAATTGAAAAATTTTTAAGTTTCTAGAAATCCTCTATCTTGTGGCCAATTGAAACTCGAAATTTGTCATAAGAGAAATAAAATATTAATCTTATTCTAAATGTTAAACAAGAATAAAATGATACCTTGACTGTACTCGCTTTAGTGCTCACAACGCTTTAGGCATCATTTCATCCTTGTTGTTTATTAAATATTAAACAAAGACAATTAATGCTCATAAACGCTGTAAGCGCCAAAGTGAATGCAGCCCTGGAGAACACTCAGATAAAAATCTATACATCCTAAAACACAGAATTTTTAATAATTTACTAGATTACATGTAAAATCATATCAAGCCATAGCTTTTACATTAACACAAAACAATAAATATTAAGATTAATATATATTAATTAATTAATACTTATTAACACAAATACTTCAGATAATTGTCAACTAAATGAATTTGATCTCATTCATATGATATTTTGTATAGAATAATACATATAGTTTTATAAGACACATTTTATCCAACAGAAAGAATATATACAAACACTGCTTAACTATAAATAACACATAAGTCAATTTGGCAAAATATCAAATGCATGCAATAACAACTTCAAACATCCTGATGTCATAACTAGTAATTATAATAATCATTTGGATATACAATTGTTACATAAAAATATCTCCATAAAATGTGTTTAATGATAAAATTTATTAGAGATAGAACCTACCTATTATCCATTTTTCCTTTCATCCATTGTGGCAATGAAATTCCACTACCAAGAGATCTGTCCTGCTGTCTCGAACTACCCATCTTTGTGTAATTTTATAAACCAAATAGCAAGCTTGAATTCTTTATGTTAAGTAATAATTACACGTGCTCTTAGTGTAGACACTACCGTATCTGCTGATACACGAATGCACAAAATGACATGCCACGAGGTGATGCTTTGTTATCCATCTTATCTCTCACAAGATCGGTATAGATATATACGTGCTATTGTACAGTTGTATAATACAAGAAATTAGTAGCAGCAATTCAATTTTTAGAATTTCGACCAAGTTACCGTTCGATTAATCTGCAAGTTCGCAAATGTTTAGGATACAGAAAAAATAAAAACCTATTATTAATATACAATAGAAACAAATATGCGAGATGAATCAATACTCACTTTCTTGTTCATGGATACAATATTAATGTTAATTTTCATAATTATAACTGCCACTTTTACAGAAATAGCAACGAATAAACGCAATATTGATAATAATAAGATCACACCATGTTGATAATCATAATGGCTGACAAATCGCTGCTGATGGCGTATGCGCACAATCGCAGAAATCCAAGTGGACACTAGGTAATAAGGGGCTCCGCACAATAAAAGGAACAGGGAACAGAGAATAAGAATTTCAACCTATCAAAAATCATGTATTGTGGAATACACAGTTTCTGATAGGTTGAAATTCTTATTCTCTGTTCCCTGTTCCTTTTATTGTGCGGAGCCCCTAAGAATACGGCACTAGAGATTTAACCTGATTATTGCAATTGCGTTCCAAAATTTATTGAAATTCTATTGTTGTCTTGCGTAATGTTTACTGTGCTTTAAACAGTGAGACAATTAAAAGTTCGGAAAAACGCAAATAAAAAGGGAAAGATATATCTGTATTAAAGAGAAAGAAAACAATGTTATTATCTTAGATACGTGAAAAGAATACACTCGATTACTGATCAAGAAACAATTTATGGCAATATTTAAATACAGTATGGCAGAAGTGGCAGCAAATTTGAAATCTGTCTGCGACAAAATATCATACGCTGCCACGAAGAGAACATCGGTATTCTTTTCCGTGCATTTAGTGTTTAGTATTAATTAAATATATAAGTTTATGTATGTAACTATTTTTTAAATGCGCTAAATAGTTACATAGAGAACATTGCGTTTTCGAACGTTAATGCAAAGGTTAACTCGCATGACTCAAAATATTTATCTCGTTCTCACAGGAGTATCAATATTATGAACCGCGATTGGTAGCCATTAGCAAATTACAATCTACTGTCTCGATAGTATCCGCATATGAGGCTGGTCAAAGAAATTTTGGTGAAAATTATATAAATGAATTAGTGGAGAAGGCCTTCAGCCCACTGATTCTTGAAAAATGCAAACAAATTCGATGGCACTTTGTAGGCCATTTACAAAGGAATAAAGTCAACAAAGTTTTAAGTATACCAAATTTATATATCATAGAAACTGTCGATAATGATAAACTTGCAAATGCGCTCAATAATTCATGGCCAAGATTTCGAAAGAGCAATGACAGCAAGTTAAATATCATGGTACAAGTTAACACAAGTCAAGAAAAGGGTAATTAATTATTTATTATATTTTATATGAGAAGGGGTTATATTGGATAAAGTAATTTTCAGCTCAATATATTTTTTTGGATTATCTTGTATAAAAATAATTGTAATTACAGAAAAAAATGGTTGTGATATTGCACAAGTATCAACCCTTGTAAAACATGTCGTAGAGAATTGCTCTAATTTGAATTTTATGGGTCTTATGACAATAGGAATGTATGGATATGATATTAAAGATGGACCAAATCCTGATTTTATTTGTTTAATAAAGTGTAGACAAAAGATCCATGATGAATTGGGAATTGATGTAAAAGATATTGAATTGTCGATGGGAATGTCCAATGATTATGAACATGCAGTAAGGTCTTCGGATGATTGTGAACAGTGTATTAAAATATATACAGAGTTTATGTTCTTATATGAAATGCATTATTTCCTATTGTAGATTGAACTTGGCAGTACAAATGTGAGAGTAGGAAGTGCCATTTTTGGTGCCAGACCACAAAAGAATAATTGAAAAGATATAATATAATTGATATATTAAATCAATTTTATCTTGAAAAAGAAAGGATATATTTGTTATTTTAACATCTTAGATATGTATGTATTATAAACATTCTTTCTGCAGCAAATATAGTTAATTTTCTCTATTTTAAGGTTATCAGAATTGAATATTTGCTATATTTTTAAGATCTTTCCTAAATTCTTATTTTTATTTTGATTTACAAAATTATGTGTTGTAAGTGTAAGTACTAAAGGAATTATACAGAAGGGCAATTTAGAAGGAAATGATTGTCTTGAAAGAAGAAACCTTACAAAAATTATTTATAAGGGCTCCATTATAGAAAAATACATATATATTACAATTACAAATAAATGTACATAATGATGTGTAAAATGTTAATAAAGACTGTATTATTATCTTATTTTTTAATTACAAAGACTATATATTATAAATTCCACGAATTTTGTGTTAATAAATATTTAATTTTCATTTTATAAACTAAGCAAACATAAATTAGTTATTTGATCTTTTTGATCTTTCTTATCTTACATGAATCTACAAGGAATTTATATAGGTAAACTTCCTGTCATATTTTCTTGTATGTCTTGTTATGTCTCAATAAATAAAATATAATTAATAAATTATAGTATGAACCTTGATATAGAAACTCTTAATAATCAGTGAAATCTACAAATTAATAGTTAAAATAAGTTAAGAAAAAAATGTATTTATCTTTTATTTTAATACAGATCTGATATTTTTGCAATAGGGAATTATATGTACATTTAAAAATAGAAATTGTTTTTTTTCTTTTTATCTTTGTTCAGATGAATTTATAGGTTTATATTAACTGGATAGCAATTATTAATAAATATTACTACATAAATTTTCCCACCCTTCTCTCAAATCTTTCTAGATCAAATTTTATAATTGATATAAATATATACTTTATAAAATAAAATAAATTTTATAAAATTCTTATTAATTTATGCATATAACATTGGGCGTGGTCCAATTCCAATTCTCAGCCTCATTATGTCGTACAGACACACATATGTAGGTCACCTTCACCGTTTTTTTTTACAGGAGCATGGTTCAAATGTATCTTGTGCAAGGTCACGAATTACGCAAGTTACTGCTCTTAAAAGTTATGGAAGTCAGTCAGTTACTTTCTTCAGAAAATCACTGGTCGTATGCAACATCATTGTTTGCCCAGTAGCAATGATTGATCGGTCAAAACTGAAGCTGTTTTATATACCAAGAATTAAAAAGATGTTTGTGTATAAGAAAAACTACTGAATAGTTTCACATAAATTTCGTGCCGCCATCTTTTGTCTCTAAAATTGTGATAGAAATCATTCTCTGTAATTTTGCAGAATACAATTTCGTTTTTTGAAATTAAAATTTTAAACACGTTTTATTAATTTTTACTTCTATGATAAACAATTCTTTCACTCGAAGGCAATTTTGCTTATAACCGGTACTTTTAAAAATTCACGAAAATTTATTTGTATGAGAAGGTATTCTTTGTATTTTAGAGGAACAGTTGTGTATCATTTTTTAAAATAATTTGAAATTTAAGAGATATCTTGTAATGTGTTTTTCTTACGTGCTTCTTTATGCACACGCAAACAAGAACTAAAGAAAATCAACAAACCATAAGTTGCCCCTATAATATACGTCAATAAAGAAACGGCTCCTGTGCAACTTGACATAAGCTTGCGTCAGACAATCGTAAATGAGGAGATTGGTGCCCACTGTAGTCCACGTGATGTAATATATTCATACGTGAAGCACGAGATATGTACGATATTGCACATAAATTTAAAAGTGACACGAAAAATCAAGTTGTATGTTTACGCTTGGTATGTAAATGTAGGTAAGCATGTGAAATAGAATTCTCATTTATTGATATTCGATTATATTGCACTACGAATTTCTTTTACGTTTTTTTTTATATTATTTTAAAAAATATACTATATGTTACACACACACACACACACACACACACACACACACACACACACACACACACACACACACACACACACACACACACACACACACACACACACACA